TATCTAGTCTAACTCTTTTCTCTCAAAACGCACTTTCTTGTTGGTTTCATCCAGCCTTAAGCTTTAAATTCCTTCTCTCTGCTGATGACTTTCAAAATTGTATCTCTGACCCTGATTGTGCTCCTGACCTCCAGACTCAGAGACCCAACTGTCCCCTTGACAACCCCACCCAGATTTCTAGTAGACATCTCAGTCTTAACATACCCGAGAGTCTTAATTTTGTGCTGTAATCTTGCTCTTTCTGGAGCATTCCCCATCTCAGCAGCTCGTTCCATCCAATTGCTCAGGACACACTTGTCAACATCATCCTTGCTTTGTCTCTCTCTCACTCCTCATATCTGGTCCCTCACAAGCCCCGTTGGCTCTACCTTCAACATACATCCAGAATCCCATACCTTCTCACCTCCTATGCGGGTCTGAGTCAACATCACCTTTTGCCCACACGATTGCAGCTGCCTCCTCACTGATCTCCCTACTTCCAACCTTGTCCCCTTATAGTTCATTTTCAACATGGTGGCCAACGAGTCAGCCTTTAAAAGTGTAAGTTGGATCACATCACTCATCTGTATCTCACTCAGAGTACAACCGAAATCCTTTCAATGGCTACAGTGTCCTACGTGATCCAGTTTCCAGGATCTCTTTCAGTCTCATTGGACTCTCTCCCCACATCACTTACTTCTGTCTTCACCCACACTGACCCCTCATGACAAACACACTATGCCTCAGGACCTTTGTACTTGCTGTTTCTTCTGCCTGTATATTCTTCCTCCAGCTTAGTGATTCTCCAAGTGTGGTCCCTGAGCCAGCAATAGCAGAATCACCATGGAATTAATTAAAAAATGCAAACATTTCTAATAACCAGACCTGATGAATCAGAAACCCTGGGGGGAAAGGGCATCAATCTGTATTTTAGCAAGCCCTCCAAGTAATGTGGATGCACAGTCAAGTATGAAAACCAGTTTCACATAGCTCCTTGGTTCCTTCAGATCTTTGTTCAGATATGCTCTTTTGTAAAGAAAGGCCCTTCCTGACTCCTCTATCTAAAATAGCACTCCCCCAGGATAATGCAAAAATTCCCTAGGTTTCACAGCACTTAGACCTGTTATATAAGGGCCTATAATATATTGGCTTGTTTATATTTCATTCCTGTCTGTCTCCCTGCCCTGTACGGAGGCTTCCTAAGAACCTCCAGTGCCTGGAACAGTGCCTGGCACAGAGTAGACCCTCAGTAAACATCTATTGCATGAATGAACCCCTTCAATGTTTCGAAGGGAACCTGGTGCCCAGAGAGAGGCAGGGACTCGCCCAAGGTCGTATAGGGAGCCAGGCTTCCTGACGGTCACCTGTAGGACCTGCTTCGCTGTGTTAGGCTCAGCGTGGCTGGTGTGCCCCTCCTCAGAAGCGTGGCTCATCGGAGGCCCCCGGCACACTTCCTTTCCTTTTTAAGCTGTGAGTGGTTTAATTTTCGAGCCCTGCTGCCTTTCATGTCCCAAGCTGTGTCCCTGCTCCCTCTGATCTCCGAAGCTGCCCAGACCCTGGTGCCGCTTGTCCGCCCCGCCCTCCTCAGCCCAGATCAGGAGGCTCAGTAATTGTGACTGATTTTCAAAGCTGCCTGGAGTCTCCACAAGCACCCCGGTGTCAGATTTGCTTCCTCTTCAAAAAGTTGCTTAAATGAAATAAACTAATTTAATTTCTGCCTCCTCCATTCTCCTCCTGGCTTCCTTGGCTTGTCCGAGTTGAATCCAATGCCTGACTCTTTCCTGAGCTGAATGTCAGAGTCAGTGAGCTGGGAGGGGAATGGGAGGCAGGGCAGGAGCTCCTCAGGCTGATTGATATTCATGAACCCGGGGACTGGTTCTGCCTCCTACAATCTGGGTGACCTTGAAAGTGTCCTTGCCTTTCTCTTGGCCTCAGTTACCCCGAGTGTGATGCAAGGACTCCTGCCACTCTGACAGTCTAGGAACCAAGACTTGACTTGCTCAGTCACTGACTTGCTATGTAATGGTGGACATATTTTCTCCCCTCTGAGCCTCCGTATTCGATGGAGATGCCACTTGTTCGATGGAGATGCCATTTGTTCGATAGAGATGCCACCATCAGTCCCATCACCTCTCAGAGTTGAAGTGGGAGTGAAATGATGGACAAGCACCTGGCCGATGCCTCCCTCTGGAGTCCCCTATCCCCACCTGTTCTCCAAACCGTAGCAGAGAGAGCTTTCTAAAATGCACCTCAGGACCTTTGCACTTGATTGGCTCCCCTGCTTTAGCCTTTCCCAGGTTCTGTGCTTCCATCAAGTCCTTTGGGTATGGCTCTTGCTTCCTTCTCCAGCCTCACCTTGTGTCACTTTTCTGGTCTTTTCCACGTGGATTCATTTGGGATGAAGAGACACAGGGCCAGGGTTTGAGTCAGTGAGTAGGGGCTGCTGGACGGGGGGACATCAGGGGCTTTAGCTGCCTCTGACTTGCTGTGTGATCCTGGACACATCACTGCTCCTCTGAGCCTTAGTTTCCCCCATTTGCAAAATTGATTTGTAAGTAATCACTAGGCTCTGAAAGTCCATGGGTCTTTGCTACCGACAACTTTCAATGATCTCTTCACTAAACTCATATATTGAAGTGCCTTTTGCAAGATGTCCACTTGGCTGTCTAGTAAGTACTTCCAACTTTAGCACAACTGAAACCAAACTCCTGATTTCCCTCCGTCCCCCAGATCTGCTTCTCCAGCTGCTCCTCCCATCTCAGCAAATGGAAATCCCATCTATTTAATTGTCCAGGTCAACACCTCAGTAGTCATCCCTGAATTGTCTTTCTCTCACATCCCACATCCCATCCATTAGCAAATGCTTTCAGCTCTACTTTTAAAATATATCCCAAAGTCGACCTCCTCTCACTACCCTTACTGATCCCACCTTGTTCCAAGCCACCATCATTTCCCACCTAGGTAATTACAATATGCTCCTCTGCTTCTGTCCTTGCCCCACACCCCAATCCCATCACCACCCGATCTTCACAGAACAGAGTGAGGTCCTTTTAAAACTAAGTCAGACCATGTCATTCTTCTGAACAAGCCTCTTTGCTGACTGCCCAGCTTGCTCAGCATAAAAGACAAATCCCCGACTAGGCTCCCCGGGGCTGCACGATCTGATCACCTCTCCACTTCTCCTCGGAGCCTTTGTAGGTACTGTTCCCTCTGCCTGGAATGCTCTTTCCCCAGGGCCCACCCTTTCCTTTCTTCAGGTCTCTGTTTCACAGTCACCTCCTCGGAGAAGCCCTCCAGCCCAACGCTCTTGTTTGTTTACTTGCTTACTGACTGCCTTCCTCAGCCAGAAGTCACCCTCCATGAGAGGGAAGCTTGTCTGTCTCTTCAACGGCATGTTCCCAGTGCCCAACACATAGGAGGTCCTCCTGTGCCCTTGTCGAATAAATAAACGGATACACTCAAACAGACACATAGTATGCCGTATGCACACACAGGCCATAAAGTGCCTTTTGCTTAGCCATGTGCATGCACACACGTGTGTGAATGCATACGCACACCAGGCACACGTGCACACCTGTGCATGTGTGTGCACCAGCCCGCACCCGCATCCCCGCCCTCACTGTTCCCTGGCCTCCCACCGTCCTTCTGTGCCCACCCGTATCTCTGGTCCACTTCTTCCTCTCCATGCCTGGCTGCTGGCTCTCTACCCACCAATCTGTCAGATTTAGCCCAATCTGGGGAAGCGGGGGCTGCCCGCACCCTCTCCGAGCTCAGACACCCCCTGCCTCTGACATGCCCTAGTAGGACTGGAAGGCCCAGAGAGAGGCAGCCCTGAGCCCTTGACCACAGTACGTCAGGGATGGAATGAGGTGTCGAGGACTGAGGACCACTGCTCTCCGCCCAGCCTGGCATGCAGGTGCCTGGGGTAACCTCCTGCAGAAGATGGCTGAGCCCCTTGCCTGTGACTCCGGCTTCTCCTGGGAGTCCCGGCCTCAGTGGGCCCTACCATGGGAGCCAGTATAGTCATCCAACCTCTCGCTTCAGTGTCCCACTGCTGTGTGGCGGTGAGCTTCCGAGTGTGGCCTCTCCTGCGGTCTTCTCACACTCAGGGGTTCTGGTGTGTGGGCTCCTGATCTATCCATGCCATGGCGCGTTCCCGGCACCCCTGCACTCTAGCGGCCATACCCAGCTACGTGCTGCTGACCTGCGTCTGGGGCTCAGCCGTCTCTGTGAACCTGTGTTCCCAAGTGGCTAGGTCTTGGGTCCTAGGTTGGTGTTGGGGTCTCCCATGGGCAGGAAACGAAGTTGTCTGGATGCTGTTGCTCCTGTCGCTGTGCCCCTCCCTGTTGTGGCTACTCTCCGCTAGAGCCTAGCCCCAGGTGGGTCACCTCTGTTCGTGGCTTTAGCCTATGGCTACGTAGGTGGTCGTTTCTGTGCACAAGCTCCATACGGGTGAGGTGCTGTTTCCTGAGGGGCTTTGAGGAGGCTCTGTCGGGTGTGAGGCTGTGTCTGGTTGTGTGCCCAGGCCTCGTTCTAGCTGTGTTCCACTCTGGTTCTTGCCAGGTGTAGGTGTGCCCGTGTTCAGTTGTGCCTGCCCCTGTGTGGGACTGTGGCCAAGGGCTGTGCAAGGTCAGTGTGGAGCTGAACTCTGGGCAAGGCCGCATACAGGGGAGCTGCTGAGCCTGGAAGTGGGGCTGGGCCTATGGGAGTGACCGTGGCCAAGCATGTTGCTCTGGCCACTCGCAGTCCAAGTCATGTGGGGTCAGTGTCCATGTACATGGCTGGGGTCATGTGTGTGTCTTAGTCCGGGTGTGCAGCTGTGACCATGTCATCACTCTGCTTGAGCCCGTGTGGACTTCTGACTCGTGCTTGTATCCCCTGCCTGGGGCAGCACTTCCAGTCTCTCCTGCCTCTCCCCAGATGATCAGCCAGTCCCCATAACAGGCTCCTACTCAGAACCTGGCAGCTCCCCTAGCCCCAGCCCCTGACTCGGCCCAGCACCCCCAGGGCCCGCCGCCTACCTGTAGGTGAGAGCTCAGCCACACTTCCAATGTAGGGGCCATGCAGGAAGCGGGGCTCACTGTCGTTGATGTCCTGCACCTTGATGATGAACTCCGACTCCGGTTCCAGCAGGCGGTTGGTGGCACGATCCCGGGCCTGAGCCCGCAGCGTGTAGAAAGTTTTCTGCTCACGGTCCAGGCGCTCCATGGCGTGGATGTCTCCCGTCAGCTCATCGATCAGGAAGATGGTCCCAGCTCCCTCACCTGAGATGGTGTACTTGATGGCTCCGTCACCCTCGTCGGAGTCCGAGTGGATCTGGGGAGGCAGAGAGGAAGGTCAGTGGGTCTGTGGCAGGCCCTCGGAGTTTGCATTTCTAACAAGCTTCCAGACGGCTGTCTCTGACCCCACTGGGAATTATGGGTCCAGCCCCACCTGCCCAGACTCTGAGCCTGGCACACGGCGCGGGCAGGGAGTGAAGGGAGCGAGGACAAAAAGGAATGCACATCATAGGAGCCCCTACTCTGTGCCTGGGTCCGTGCTAAGTGATTCACATACTTATCTATTCAGAGTTTTCGAAAAAAAGGTTTAAAATCTACAGAAGGCACTAGCACCTCCCTGACACCATGGGACACACGAAATTCACCAGTCAGGCCAGCAGGGGCACTGCCACAGGGTCTTACTGCCGCAGGACCCTAGCTGGGCCAGGCAGGACCCTCTGGCTACTGGGTCACGGAGAGGTCGGGGGAGCTGAGGGAACTGGGGGAGGAGGGAGAGGAGGGAGACCATTTACTGGGTGGGGGGGCTATGTCACTATGTTCACGACCAGCACAAGAACACTGGTATGTACTAGCTGAAAATCAGCCCTGCTTGAGACATTATAAGCATCCAACAAATGGTAGCTATCGTTATTGTTATATTATTTACTAAATGTTAGCCATATATAACTGGGATTTAATCCAGGCACCGCCAGGCTCCAAATCCCAGGCTGTTTTCACTGAACTGAGATCTCTTAGGCAAGGAAGCAGTAGCAAGAGGGTTATCCCAAACAGAAACACCTAGGTCGCGATTCTTCGATTCCCAAATTTCCGAGGCAACTCCAAGCAGAGGGAAAAGTGTTCGATGAAGCAGGTGACCTTGGGTGGGTCTCTGCTCCACTCTAAGCTTCCACAGAGATGTAACGTGAGTGACAGAATCCCTAAAGCCCCTTTCAGGCCAGGATGTCACGTACCCCAGCCCACACAGCAGGACAACAGGTTCCAATGAAGTCGTCACGAAGGGGGATGAAATCCCACCCCTTGCCACGCAGGAGGAGCCCGGGTATAAATTCTGCTGGTGGAACTCTGTGTCTGAAAGGTGGATTATAGAAGTGCCATTTGGAAGATTGAATGGCCCATAAACATTTTCATATTTCATTAGCCGATTAATGGGCATCTCTCTCTTTTTGGCGAGTCTGCTGATTCTCAGCAGAAATTGCGGGGAGTAAATGGAGGCGTCTGGTGGAAACTTCCCGGGTCCCCGTCCTGTTATAGATTGCCCCAATTAATGCCCGTTCTGGGCTCCACTGAGAAGCCTTCTTCCTGTCCAGTTACTGTTAATAGATTTCTCATAAGTGGCTGTATTGTAAAAACCTCATAACTCAGTTTAATGCCCCCAATAAAATTATCTCAGGACGTCAGCCCTGAATCATTGGCAGTGCTGGGGATGAGGAGACCTGTCTCTCCTGTTTGCTGTTTATGCTTTCCCTCCACCTTGGCCCAGGGGACGTGGGAATAGGAGAGGGTAAACTTGTTCCCTCTTCCAGCACCTCCACCCACTTTCCAATCAGACTCGGCGTGTGCTTACGGAGTCAGCAAACACCGCGGTGTGGTGGGATAGACACCACGTGGGGGGACGCTTAAGAGCGATAATCTTAGCTGTTTTCATTTCTGCCCTATGAAACATTATTCTTCCCATTTCTCAGGTGAGAAAACAGAAATGCAGAGAGGGGAAGTCACCGGCTGTGCCACACAGCTGAGTTCAGGAAGCCAGTCTCCTGATCCCATGACTCGCTGATGTTGTGATCATTTTTCCTCTCTGTTTTCCCCCCTGAGAAATCAGATCGAGCCCTCCTAGCACAGGTGCGGTGAGGATTCAATGAGAGCATGTTTGTAATGACCTGAACCCGAGTTAGACCATTGTTGCCTTCCCTTTCAGCCCCCTGGGTCTCTATCATGTCCCGCAGACCTTTCTTACATGTGAACTCAGACCCTGGACAAGGATGGACACTCATTTGGGAGGGGTGGGGAGGAGGGAGTGGAACCCAGCGGTGATGTCACCAATGTGCTTCTCCTGTGAAGGATGACATAGCGCTCACGCGGTGGCCCAATGGCCACTCTCTGGGGACTGCGGAGTCAGACAGAGTGGAACAGGTGGGGGCAAGGGGGCAGGAGCTAAGAGTTCAGAGCTGTGGGTCTGGGCTGGGCTGTGGCTGCCTGCCCTGCGCACGTGGGTCCTGGCTCCAGAGAGAAGAGGGTGTGCCTGTGTCTCTACCCCCAGAAGAACATTTCCCAAGACTCTCAGCTGTGAGGGGAGGCTGGAGGACAGCACTCTTGCTTATGGAACGCCGACCATGGGTCAGGTGTGTGGCGGGCCTCTGCGGAAATCTAAGTCAACATTGGAGCTCCCGACCATGTATTGGCCTTTCCCAGGTGAGGATACTGAGCTGGGCCCAAGTCTGTTTGACTCCACAGTGCAGTCTGTCCTTCTGCAGCCTCTGCAGATCTGTCAGTCTGGCTGGGGAAGAGGGCTGGACACACCTTTTGCCTTGTACAGGCCACAGTCACAGGCGGCCTCTTCTACCTGGGCCTCTACTTCATCATTTGGAAAAGGACTGCAAATCACACATCGAGACAGACGATGGGCTTGGGGATCGGGAAGAGCTGGGTGCCAGCTCAGGCTCTGCCACTGGCCTGTGGTATGGCCCTGAGCCTCAGTCTTCTCATCTGTAAAGGACACGCTATGGCTCCCACATGTTCCGACGATTCATAAGATAACGTGTGGAAGCTCCTGGCATGAAATAGGTGTTCGTGCAGACCAGTTCCCTCTCCTTTTCCCACCCTGGGCTCAGGAGGGACTGAGGGTCACGCACTTCATCCCCCAATGTCTGACACAAGACCGTAGGCTGAAATCCTGACCCACTGGAGAGACAGGGGCATCATCTAGTACCTTCTTCCCTTTTAAACTGGGCTTGTTTCCTCCTTCAGGCAGTCCTCTTAGGTGCCCCAACCCATTTGGTTGAAGAGCCTTCATCCTGCCCCACGCACACTCCCTTCTGCTCCACACTCCCCCGTAACACCTCAGTGTTGCACATCTGTCTCCCCAGCTGTCCTGGGCCTCAGGGGTGTGGACTAACTTTGATTCACACCTTCTGAAACCCCCATGCTTTGCACACATAGGTGTCCTGAGTAGGCCTGCAGAGAAAATACAGGGGAAGTGAGAGAGTTGAGTGTGTGTGTGTGTGTGTGTGTGTGTATGTGTATGTGTAAGGTAATGCATGTGGGAGTGTGAGATGTCAGCTCCTTGAGGACCAAGTGTACAGCTGTTTATTTCCTTCTACCCAGTACCCAGCACAAGGCATGGGGCCAAACATATCAAATAAATGAAGAATGAAATATACAACAGTCACTAAAATGCCCCACCTGCCTTCTGGGATTTCTGGAGGATCCAGTCACTGTCAAATCCCAGGTACACATGAGCTAGACTACAGAGAAGAGTCATTAGACACACTTCTAGACCGTTGACTGTGACCTCATTGATGTCTCATTAAGATCTTATGAATCAGAGTTTATTTCCTCCCTACTGCACAGGTTGGCAAGCTGAGGATCAGAGAGGGCCTATATCTCCTCTAAAGTCACACAGCCAGCAAGAGGCAACCCTGAAGCCTGAGTCCACATCCTGGGTTCTTTCCACCGCCATCAAGGGTGGACAGCCCCAGAGGAGAGCCCCCTCCCCAGGCCCAAGGCCCAGATCATAAACAATGGGAAAAACACAAGAGTGATGGCTTCTCATCCCGGGGGGAGCTGAAAAATGGGATTTACGAGGCCATTAATTACTTCCTCCTAATTAAATCAAAATTAAATGTGAGCAGAAGTACGTTTTCCTTATTAAAGACAATTAAGCGGACAGCGCAGCTACACAAATAAAATGAGTCCAGGATTTAAACGGAAAGCAAATCAAATAAAAAGCCTCCCCCCGGAATGAGGGGTCTGCTCACGCCTGTGCTACTCGTAAACCAGGAGTTCATCAATTTTCTTTAAATATTAGCAACTTAATTAAATCTGCTCTCCTCCCCACTTTAATCCTGCTGTATATCTAAAATAGATCTCACCGCCCGCAGGAGTTGGTCATAAGTGCTGACCCCATAATTCTATCTTTTTAGGAAAAAAATTAAAAACCTTACAAAATCCACATCCAGCTGACAGAAGCCTCTGGGGAAATTACAGTTCGGAAAAGGGATTAGTCAAAGTACCCAGATTGTATGGAAATCTGGGAGGCTGCTTGGAGGGTGGGTATTGGGGACAGGTGAGGGGAAGAAGTGGCCAGGCTGCCCACGGGGCAGGACTGGGGAGGGAGCCGTGGGTTTTGGGGCCTCCGTGACAACCATGGACCCCAGCGGTTCCTGCGGGTGCCGACAGGAGCGTGGCGGTGAGTGATGGAGAAGGCGTGTGTAAAATAGGTTACCGTTGGGCGCCTGGGGTTCACTCTGCGGATGGTGTTGTTGCTAAGCTACCTTTGGAATTCGACAAGGACGGATGCTCCGAGTGGCTCCCTGGGGTGGGGGACCGGGAAGCAGGGAATTCACTGAAACCGTGGAGAAGGCCTTTCCCCCAACGAGCGAGAGAGTGTGGTAAGTGTGTGTGTGTGTCTGCACATACAATCGCCTGCACAAAGGTGGGGCTTGGCTTGCAAGGGGACAGGTGGTTTTTAAAAGTGCAAACCCGTATTCCTCATATTCCAATTGCATACTGAGTGAGGGGTGGGCTAAGCAACCACCTCTCCCCGCCCCGCCCCCCACCACTTGGGGTGGAGAATCCTGGGACATGGGTTGCCCAGAAGGCTTCCAGGGTTTGGGGAAGGGGTTGGGAGTGTCTGTGTAGCTGGGAGGCTCAAGCTGGTGGAAATAGCAGGCAAGACCTATAATTACAAAAGCTAACATCCAGCACAAGCCAGGTGCCAGGCGCTCGCTCTTCTTGGCTCTTGACCTATACCAGCTCAGTAATTCCTCACCACAGCCCTTTGAGGACGGGCTAGTAAAGGCCTCACTCAACAACAGATAAGGAACCTGAGGTTCAGAGAGGTTCAGTACCCCAAATCAGAGAGATAATAAGGGGCAGAGCTGGGATCTGAGCCCCCAGCAGCTCTGGCTCCAACTGTCCCCCTCGAACCACATACTATATATCACCTTTCTAAAGGCAGTATGCTCTGGGCACATGTTTGCAAAGAGATGGAAAATTCTCTTTCTTCCCTGCAGAGGTGCGCTCTGGGAAGAAGGGAGGGGGGCTCTGGGTGAAGATGATGGAAGAGGGGGATAACATGGTCATGGCAGCCATGAGGATGTTAGGAGAGGTTGCCCCAAGGAGAAGAAAGACACCCGGGCCTGGCACAATGCTTGGCTCATGGTCAAGGGCATTCACATTGCCCTGGGCCCCAAGCTGGTGTCCAGAAATCTGGTTTCTAGGGTTGGTTCTGTCACCGTGTTGCTGGGAGACTTTGGTCTGATGTTCTCTGCCTCTGGCCTCAGTTTCCTGGTGTTATAATGAAAGGACTTCCTAAGGCCACCGACTCTGGTTCCTGGAGATGGGGTGGGGTTCCCCCTAGGCTGTTGAGATGCCAAGGGCCAGTGAGCTACAGGCAAACTGCTGAGTCAGCAGTGGATTCTCCTGGTTTCAGGACATGGGGGATGGGGAGGCCTGGGAGCCCCAACTGCTGGGCAGACGACAGAGATCAGGTACCTGACAGCACCAAGCTGACATTTGGGCAGATGTCTTTCCCTGCCTCTCTGGGGATTTCCTGGACTCAAGTCCACCTCTCAGGCCCGACGTCTCGGAGACGTTGGGAGAATCAGACTGGGACTGGCCTCTGACACACACACAGGTTCAAGCCTTGGTCAAGTTGCTTGTCCCCTTTAGGACTTTGCCCTTTCTCAGTCTTGGTTTCCTTGCTCCAAAAGGGAATGATGATTTCTACCTTGCCATTTAAGGACTAAATGCTTCATATGAGAGTAACGAGAAAACAATGTAGAACAACTAACCCGACTGCGGTCTGAACACCATATATGCTGTCTTTTTCCTTAATCCTTTCAGCAACCCTAGGAAATGGGCTCTCTTAGGCCCCCCATTACAGATGAAGAGACAGATTCAGGAGGTGATGTAACTAGTTCAAGGTAATACAGTCTGGGTTGGCAGAGATAGGCCTTAAGTTCAGGTGCATCTGGCCCCCAAGACTGCATTCTTAGTCTCCTCACCATCAGCTGCGGCCTGGCCAGACTTGGTCCCTCCTTCCCCAACCCCTCACCCCCTTCTGCCAGCCCCACTATCTCACTGCCCTGGCTGGAAGTCAGGAGCCCTAGGCTCTGCCACTAGTTTGCCAGGTGACCTTGAGAAGGACATGGATGGAGGGGAAGGTAGCCAAGGACCAGGGATTACTGTGTCTAGACCAGAGAAAATCTAGGTTTCCTACAAAACAAACCAGGAGATTTACATCAAGCCCTTCCTCCCCTCCCTGATCCCCGAGCCTCTGACCTGAGAAGGTTGATCAAACTTCCAATTCTCAGACCCATTAAGCACACAGGAAACTCCAGAGTTGGTCCCCTGACCCATCTCTGCTGACCAAAACTTCCTGGAAGGCTGACGGGCAGAAATCAGAGAGTTCCAGCACCCTCCACCTCAGTACCTCAACTGCTGACAAGTCTAACTCAGTCAGGCTCCCTCAGGCCTCCAAGTCTTTGCACGGGATATGTATGCCCTTTTTCTCATCAGCTCCTATTTTTCTCATGAGCTCCTATTCATACATCAAAACCCTGCTCACATGTGTTCTCCTCCATGAAGCCAGCCAACAGATACCATTTACTGAAAGTCTGCTCAGTGCTAGGTGCCCACCTGTGAATCATGTATCAAAGCTCTCTGCTACTTTGGGGAGCCCCCAGATGGCAGAAGCTGGATCTTATTTGCCTCTGCCTCTCTGGCATCGCACCCATGAGGGGTTGGGAATTGAATGGCTGAACAAAAATCTTTCCCAGCTTCACATACTCCTAAGGCACAGATGCTTAGCCTCATTAACCATCATTTACTCAGTTTGAGAAAGTAGCTTTCATTCATTCATTCATTCATTCATTCATTTAATACGAACAGTTTATGAACAATATGTGTGCTGAGTGCTGGATTTGACAGTGAGGAAAACAAACACGGTCTGATAGGAAATATATACATTAACTGCATAATCAAGCACACACATGCATAATTAAGTGTTATGAAGGAAAGCTATGGGGATGTTGGAAGGCATGTGACAAGGATGGATGGCCATATCCAGGGGATCTAAGCCTGGTGTGGTCAGGCCAGCCTCTCTGGACATGTGGCATTTGAGTGGAGACCTGAGTGTCAGTATAGATTAATCAGCAGAAGCAGGAGCAGGACTCACCTGTTCAGGGGGAGGAAATAACCCAGACAAAGGGAAGGGGCAGTGGCAGGAGCAGGGCACTGTGAAGACCGTCAGAAGAGCCCTGGGCCTGAAACTCAGAGGAGTGTGTGCCAGGAGGTAAGGCTACAGGGGACCCAGATCTTTGCAGGCAACCCGGTGAAATTTGGACTTGACCCCAAGTGCATGAGAAGCTACTGAAGAAGTCTAAGCAGAGTGGGGACAGTATGTATGTGACATGATCAGATTTGCAGACTTTTTTCTACATTCTAGATGCATCCAGCTGTAAGACGGCCTGGGTTTACCTACTAGCTCTCTCTGCTCTGCTCTGAGATGCGCAGAGGAGGGGGATAGGAGGAGGGCTTGGGACAGGGAGGGGCGAGCAGAGCGCGCCACCCTGCTGTCTGCCCCAAGCCAGGAGCGGGCTGGGAGGAGGGACCGGGGACTGGGACTTGGGGGAACCGGGTCCCTAGCGTCTCCGGGGTCCTGGGCGCGGGGCAGCGGGTGCGGGGGCCCACTTTACCTTGCCCACGTACAGGGGCTCGGTGCCCGTGTACTCCTCCACCACGAAGAACTGGTTCCACACCCAGCCGCGCTTCACGCGCCCGGCGCTCGGCGCGCCGTCCTGCCGAGCCCCGGGTGCCGCCGGCGCGGGTGTGCCCGCCGCCCACAGGCGTCCCGGCAGCGGTGGCGGCGGCGGCAGCAGCAGCAGCAGCAGCAGCGCGGGTGACAGCGCGGCTCCCGCCCGGAGCCCCCGACCTTCGGGCCGCGGCCTCATGCTTGGCCTGCACCGGGCCGGGGCCCAGGAGCCTGGACGGGAGGCACCGGGGCGTCGCCGCTCGGTGGCACGACGGAGCGGCACCACGTCACATGGTGGCTTCAGCGCGGCCGCCGGGGCGTCGCCCCCGACGGGGCACCCGGACAGGCCCGCCGCCCTGCGCGCCGCCCAGCGGCGGGGGCGCCCGGCTGCAGGGGGAGGGGGCGCGGCCGCACCCGGGGCATGGACGGCCCCCGGGGTCCCCGCCCGCGCCCCCCTCGCTGCCGCCTTGGCCGGATCACCAGGCGGCGCCTCCGCGGCTCCCGAGGCCGGTGTGCGCCATGGTCCCCGCGCAGAGGGGTGCTGGTGGGGGCCCGGCAGATCCCTGGAGGGCAAGGGGCGGTCCCGACCCGGCCCGGAGCCTGCGAGAGAAACAAGAGAACATCAGAGGAGGCGCCTTGTGGGGGCAGGCAGGTTGAGTGGACCTCTCGACGTTTAGGCGTCAGTTAAACACCCGTTGTGATCCTTAGGGGTCCCCCACCTTCTTGGGCCTGCGGTCTAGTAGTTCTGCCCCTCCCCCACCTACCCCCCAACTCCAGCCCTGGATGCTTCCTTTCAACTCCCATCACACACCTGTCCTCCCCCAGCCTCCCCCAACTTTCTTATGACCCCTGGCCCAGCTCCTTCTCCAGGGTCCTCCACCAGCCCTCAAGCCCACGGGAGCAGGGACCTTCCCAGCTGCTTCCCCTGACCCTGGCTGGCAATCTGTCCACCCCAGCCCACCCCCTGGAAATCCCCCACCCCAGACAGGGAGCAGGCCCTTCTAGAAGGGGTCTTCAAGGGCCCCCAGGACCCAGGCCTCCTGGGTGCACAGAATCCTGCACCCAGCCTGCCACCCACATTCACACCTCCTCAAAGCAGGTGAGAGGTCATTCCACCCAAAACAGAAGCCCAGGGAAGGCCCTCTGTTCTCTTGCTAGTGCCTGCATGGGCCCCTTCAACGGTGGGGGACCTGAATCCCAGGGGGCCTTGCGTGGAGGTTCCCTAAGTGACTTTGGGCAGGACCACAACCCCTCTGAGCTTGCCACGATGTCTCCACATTTCCCTAGAAAACCTTCCTTTTATAGCATCTGAGGAACTGCTCCCCCTTCCTGGACCAGCACTGCTGTCCCCAGATCAATCCATCTCTCCTTCCCTCACCTCCATCAGATCCTGCTTTCAGCACGAAAGGATCTGAGGGACTAACTCCTACTCAAGCCATAATGATGAATAATGGCTTAATGTGGGTGTTTACAGGGGACAGCAATGCTGCTTTAATGGAGGGATTTTAGGCACTGACAAGATTGAGTGGAGGTGAGGGGCTCAATCCCCACTCTTCTCCCCAAGCCCAGTTCAGCTCAGTTCAACGACTCAATTCCACTGAGCATCGGCTCGGCCAGGTTTGGGCTGGAGGCTAGGACAGAGACAAGTAAGCTTCCGGTTTAGCAGGGTAGGCGACATAAGTGCAGGGTGGCTTGTGAGCAGAGCTCTAAGAAGGACTCGGGGAAGAGAGTGGGCACCGGTGTCTGGAAGGGGATGCTGGGTGGAAGGGAATCTGGGTTGCTTCTTGGAGGAGGGGGCTTCTGAGTGGTTGGGAAGAAAGGGATGGGCATCATGGCCAAGGAGTGTGCAGGCTGCCTAGGGGGCATTTGGCTGGTTGGGGGAGTTCGGTTGCAAACATGGGGTGTGTGGCTAGGCAGAGGATGGACCAGGTCCTCTGGCAGAATAAAGAGGCGGCCAGAATCTTTGGGGCAGAAGAAATGTGATCCAGCAGTACCGCTGGCGGCTCTCCTGCCTTTAACTAAGTTGTGTCAGTCATAGCAACTGTGAGACTGGTTTTTTATACCGGTTCTGCAGATGTTTGATTCCCCAGTGTTCCTTCCCCACATGGGCAAAGGAACTTCCTTAGAGAGGGGTTCAGAGTAGGGAGTCATCTGTTGGAAGGGGGGATGGTGATGAGGTTAAAGCAGTATCTCAGGGCAGTGGGAAGGAGAAAACCTCACAGCCCCTAGGGAAGAGAGGAGGGAGGAGTCCGGAACATGGCACCATGGTGTTCCCTCTTTCCCTGCTGGCGGCACCCTGAATGAATGGAGGCCAGGAGGGCCCATGACACTGGTGTGAGCGTCCCCAGCACCCTGTCTCACTCTGTGGGCCTAGGCATGAAGGCAGAGCCAAGGGATGAGGTGTCCCCCTCCCCTGGTGGCCCTGCTCTGCGATCCTGGAGATATGCCACCTCTGAGGATCCGGCTTTGATTCCCCACGTTACAGCCTGGGCCGGTTGTAATGAGGCTGAAGTTATGGGTGAGGAGGAGGCATCGCTCCGCAGCCTTCATTTCCTGGAGCTTATGACTTCCCTGCGGGCTCGGCAGGAACTGTTCCCCTGACTCCATCAGGCAGTTCCAGGACCCATCACAGCCCTGCAGGGATGCAGAGGAGAGGGGCTGGCGGGAGGGTGGGCATGGGAGGAGGCTGGGACCACGTCTGGGGAGAGCAGGAGGTGGGAACAAGGGGCGCTCCCCAGTGTTTGCAGGCACCCCGTTACTGCTCTTTCCTTCTCTCTCCCTCCTTCCTTTTCTTTCTTTACACCCCCTTTCCAAAGATTCTGTCATTCATTCATTCATCAAACATTAGCATCTACTACAAGTGGGGAGACAGAAATGCATGCGTTCATTCATTCCTTCAACATACTTTCCAGACAGCAAGATACAATCAGTGCCTCAGTTATATATCAGGACAAAGATGCATTTCTCCTGGTTAGTCATTTACTCATTCAACAAATATTTACCACATCTCCCTGATGCCAGCGCCTGCACTGGGCACTGGGAACAAAGCAAGAAACAAAAAATCCTGGTCCTCACGGGGTTGAGCTTCTAGTTGTAAAGGAACGAAATCTACCATATAATTTCTGGGGGCGATAAGTGATGAGAAGGAATATAAAACAGGAAAGGGGGAGGAAGAGAATGACGGAAAGGCTGGAGTGGGTGTCTTATTATAGATGTGCTATCAAGGAGGGCCTGTCGGAGGAGGTGACATTTGGCTGATTTGGAAAGATGAGAAGGAGCTTGGCACAAAATGGTTCCATGCAGAGAGAATCGCACATGCAAAGGTCCAAAGGCTGTAATAACCTGCAGAAGAACAAGAAGGCCACTGTGGCTTGTGCAGAACAAGAGCGTGGCTGAAGATGAGTCAGGACTGAGGGACGCAGGCCAGATCAGGCCAGACTGGGAGAGGGAAAGGAGTTTGCATTATATTCTGTGCGTGCAGAGAAGTGCTTGGAGGAATTTAAGGAGGCAAAACCCACAGGAGACCGAAATGGTCTCTGGCCATAAGGGGATTTCATGATGAATGTCCTTCAACACAGGAGAGCCAAGCACAGCACAGTGGATGGACTGCATTGTAGAGAAGGTGGCTCTTGAAGTCAAAGTGAAAGAAGGATTTGGACATGTGGGATTTGGGGTGTGGGGAGGAGAAGGAGCTCTCTGTGGAAGGACTGCCTGGGGCAAAGGCCAGAGGTTGAATCCCACTTTCGAGAGGGGCAAAATGGAATCCAGAATGTTGTCCAAAGTTACACAGGATGCTTGGTGGCCGAGTGTGGTGTGGAACCCAGGCTCGGATTCCGCTGGGTGCGGGGCACCTTTGAAGGAACAAGAAAAGTCACCCCTCTCAGTGGTGCAGCCCAGTGCCAGGGGCCACGCTTGGCAGGACCCAGGTGGCTGCATCCTACTTGGCTGGTCCCACAGGATGGGTTGAGGGGCAGGGCCTCCTAGTCCTGCCTCTCGTTCCTCCCCAGGCTGTCCCACCGCCCATGGGGCCTCTCTCAGACCTGTTGGCCAGGCTTGCCGGTCACCTGCCAATTCACAGCTCTGCCTGGCCCTGCCAGGCCTTCTGCAGACAGTTCAGCCTCCTCTCTCCCTCCCTTTCTCCTTTTCCTGCTCCAGCTGCGTTTTCTGAGCGGTGTAACCGCAGGACCCCATCCTGGCCTTCAATCCTTCAGGGGAGGCTGCTGGGGAGACTTCGGCCTGCCGTGGGATCTGCCAGGCCTTCCCAGAAGATCATGAGCATGTTGGTGGCTTTCTCAGGCCACAGGTCTCAACCTACTGCACGGTTGTTTCATCCCATGGGATTAAACGTCAAGCACAATAAATGTTGGTTTTGCCCTCTCCACTCTCCAGCCTCAGCTCCTCTGATCTGTGTGCTCTCACCACCTCGTAGGCCTACGTGATTCCTATGTGCATGCAGGCCTGTGTCTGCAGTCATGGAAGTCATTCATTCCGTAGGCATTTGTGAGTTTCCACTCTGCGCCGTTCTAGGCACAATGAAAAGTAATGGGTAGAGTCTTGCCCTTGCAAGTCTAATGGGGGACAGACAATAAACAAATAAATAAATAACATGACAGTTTGTGGTAAATGCTGTAAAGAAAAACAAAGCAGGGTAAGGGGCATGGGAAGTGCTAGAGCGGGGGCGGGGATTTGTTCTCTCTCTCTCAATCATCTATTATAAATAATAGTTTATGGAAGGTGGTCAGGGAAGGCCTCATGGCTAAGGTGACATTTGAACAGAGATCCAAAGTTAGGGAAGGAGGGAGCTCTGCACATCGCTGGGAGAAGAAAATTCCAGGCTGGGGGAACAGCAAGTGCAAAGGTCCTGAGGTCAGTGCATGTTTGGTGTGCAGGAGGAACAGCAAGGAGCCCCTTGTTGGCTGAAGTGGAGTGATGGGGTGTGAGTAGCAGGAGATGGGGTTAGAGAAAATATGGAGGGGGGCATCAGGGTTTGCAGGGTTTCCTTTGGGTTTTTACCGTGAGATGGGTCCCCCTACCCTGGAAGGGTTTGAGCAGAACAATGGCATCATCTAATTTCTATTTTAAAAGATCATTGTGGCTAGCTATTGTTCAAAATAAGGGGAAGCTGGGGGCCCATTTCAATAATGCAGACAAGAAGTGAGGGTGTCTCGGACTAAGGGGGAGCCGTGGAGGTGCCGAGAA